TTTCCTAATTTTAATGGAGTGAATTTCATTTAAACACTGAAATCTATTGCTAAAGACAGGCATCTGGAGAAAAATCTCCAATAGGAATAGTATTAATAATTTCACTTTATCCACCCCAGAAAGAGGTAGCAATACTGTTAAATACAGTAGGTTAACTTTTTGATTTACAAAACAAATTCTGCAATAAGTGAGTCAATATACAATTTTTTCACAAGTTTCCTTTTATGATGTAATATCCTTCAAATGGGGAAACAAAAGCCACTACTGCCATATTTGAAGACAGAAGTATCCCCTTTTGCCTCCACCTAAAAGAAGCTACATCTTTGAGAAAAAGTTTGAAATAAAGTAGTAAACAACATGAATTCAAAATGCTGGGAGGAAATTACGATACCTGTTAATATGGAAATATCCTTTCCACCAGGTTTTCCGACTCTGAGAAGAATCCTAACTTTCCAGAATTGTCACATCTTAATTTTGGAAAAGGCTAAAAAGAGCCAAGAGGAAACCTAAAAGCTTGACTAGCTCCATACTGCCCTCACTTGGACACTATAAGTCCCCGCTGGCTCCTTTTCTCTTTTCAGGGATAAAGAAGTAAAACTATACAGCTTGATGCTTTCTTCTACTCTCAATTTAAAAAAAAGTTTTTACTTGTTAAAATGTACGTATTAATCATATATCTATTTTTTTAATACTTTCCAGAAAAAAGATAATTTGTCATAATTTTTTTTTTTTTACAACTCTCTTCTACTTTTCTGTTGGGGAAAAAAAGCCAGAAAGATGGGAAACAAAGGGATTATTTTTTTTGGCCACGCTAGCAGCGTGGGCTCTTAGTTCCTGACCAGGGCTGGAACCCATGCCCCATGCAGTGGACGTACGGAGTCTTAACCACTGGGCTATCAGAGAAGTCCCCAAAGAGATTTTATATATTTTTATCATTTTCTGGTTTTTTAAAGTACATAATAGACAATTAAGTATACCTCCACTGTTACTTTCACTTATATTTGTTCTCATGAAGTTCTCAGAATTGATTTATAAGTTTCTAAAAGACTTGTTTACTTGAATGCTCTATATGTCAACAAAACTTGATGTTAATCTCAATGGTCAGATACAGACAGGGTTAGGGTTGATGTCCCCAGAAGGAGGTGTCTAAGCTCTAAATGATTCCTCTCCCTCAAAAATAAAAGCTTACACACGTCATGTATCTCTGGAAAGACCTGGGATTTGACATTCAATGTAGGCTTACTACTCAAGAAATCAACTTACAGTACCGTTTTAGAACATTAAAAACAGCATTCACTTCCTACTGTTAAGTCACACTGATGATCTTCCTTATACTTTAGATGCACAATTAAAATAATTCAAAACCAAAATTAAAGGCCCAACCATAAAAGCACACTGCAATTTCAAGACCTTTAATGCGGCAGAGTGCAAAGTCACAGTCAGGAAAGGGGCCAGGTTTGCTTCAACCTAGTAAAAGGCAAAAAGCACTACCAAAAAGTCAAATGAAGATCTCATCTGACTTTTTTCCATCAAACTTCTCAGCCAAAAGTGTGTATCACATTAAAACATCACATTTCAAATGTATAACATGCTTTATGTAAATGTTCTTAATAAAGCCAATAATACTTTGCATTGGTAGCTCACTCTGACACAAAGTAGTATGATTTTTATATCAGATTTGATTTTTATGAATATACCATGAAGTGTGGCAATGGCTGTTATTTATAACATAAAATTGGAAACAACAGATTCATAAATTGAATTACTGTCAACATCATTAAACACTCTGACTCCTAATCCAATTCTTTTTTCACATTTCATCATGCTGGCAACATGAACCAGAAGTAAGATTTTAGCAGAGTGCTTCAGGGGCAAATACTGAAGAAAAATTAGATTCTGACTCCCTGCTAATACTAATACTTCCTTGTTAATACTTCCTTCAGAAAGCCCTTATGCATGTTTCCACACATTAAATACCCTTTAAAAAAAATCCTCTAAATCAAATCAGTTAGTTGTAATCTTCCCATTATAGAGCTCAATTTCACTTTAGAACTCTTAAGATTTTTCTTCAAGTTCATCTGATACAATAAACATGACCTTTGAAACAAACTCGTATTTTTTAACTGTTTTAAATTAATCAAGACAGCAGAACTGTCAGACAAATATGGTATGATATCACTTATTTGTGGAATATAAAAAACATAACAAACTAGTGAATTTAACAGGAAAAGAAACAGACTTACCTATAGAGAACTAGTGAGGGGAGCAATACTGGGGGTAAAGGAATGAGGAACAAACTACTGGGTATAAGATAGGCTCAAGGATGTACTGTACAACATGAAGAATACAGTCAGTATTTTGTAATAACAATAAATGGAAAGTAAACTTTAAAAACTACAAAAAAAAATTCTAATAAAAAAAACAAAAACAGCACAACTCCCAGAAAGAAGATTCTTGAAAATATAAGTTATTACTTACAATATGGCAACTTCCTCACTTTAACCACATACAAAAACAAAAACAATTCAGCCTCTACTAGTTCTACATTGTTAGATGAGTCTGCATTTTCTGTTTTAAAATACTCTGGGCTTAACAGGCCTTACACTGTGTCCATATTCTTTACATGTCAGAAGCTACTACTTCTAAGATCTCAGTTCAAACTCACATAATTCTTTAAATATTTAACCTGCATAAAAATACAATATTATAATCTAGATCCAGTTGGTAAATCAGACCAGTTAAGCAATTATGACTGTTTCTTATGCCCTGGTAAAGGAACTCAAATTTTTAATATGATATTGAACCAACACAGGACACAAAATACACAAACCAAAACAAAATCTGGACAAGAAACTGAAATCTGGGGAGAGAAACACTTCTCCAAAGTAAAGAATCTAAGAAAACAAAGTATGACTTCTACAGTTAAAAAAAACGGAAAAAAAGAAAAAAAGCTTTAGAATGGATATTTTATTAAGAATAAATGGACACTTGGAATTGAGGTAAACCCCAATTTTTCAAGACTGATAACTGCAAAAATACATAGACTATTCTTCTCAAAGAACAATGCAGCCCTTTCTTTATAACAGAAAACAAAATGTGACCCAAACATGCAACTTACCATCCATATCCAACATATTCATAATAGAAAATGAAACAAAAACATAATCCAAAATATCAGGCGTATCAAACGCAGTACTTAAAATGATTCAATGAAAACAAACTTAAACATCCCCTATTTTATAATAATGTTTAACTTCTTTATTTCTACTGGCAAATTATAAATGAAAAAATCTTGCTATATCCAGATCTTTTCAGATTAACATGCCTATGCTTTGTCACCTCGAGTTACAGGAATAATCAAGACTGCACTGCCTTAACTGAAGAAAAGTAAGGAATTCTGTCTTTGATTTTACTGTCCAAAATAAAAACAGATCAAGATGAGATGTAAAAATACTGAGAATGTGTCATATTTGTTTTGTTTTCCTTCCCAGTCCAACCAAAGCATTTCTTGTCACTTCTCCACAACTAACTTGCATTTAAACTTGTTATTCATAGCTTGTGGATGCAGTAACAGGCGCTCTGCCTATGTTGTCTGTTGTTGTCACTTGCTTTTTAAAATTAATGTTTAACTAGTTTACATAACTGGAATTGCATTATCTGTGTCCCTTTTTTTAAATTAAATTTTGCCTATAGAAAATTTGGAAAATACTAGAAAGTGTAAAAAAAAAAACCTGTAGTTGCATCATCTAATCACTTTCATAACTATGACTCTCCTTTGAGTCTTATTTCTTTTCTTTTTTGAGTCTTATTTCTAAAAGACATATAACCACTTCTAGTTCTATAGTTTAGTAAACAAAATTAGAATTACAGTACTTTCTAACCTATTTCCATTTAAAAACTAGTATTTCCCACACCCTTAAATATTATTTGAAAGCGGTTTTTAATGGATTCTTTTAACTAGAATCCTTAGCCAATCCTTAGGCTGGGGTAAAAAATTAAAAATTATTAAAAATAATCCCCTCACTTTCTCCCTTCCCTTCCCCTTTATCACCATTTTGTAGAAAAGAACTGTAAACCATTCACACTAGCATCCAAGATGTGATAAATAGCCCCCTGAGAAATGCGGGGCCTAATAAGATTCAAACTTGACACCAAAGAAGAGATGCGCTAATAATGACGTTTCAAGTACTATTCAGTAGATGTGACCTTACTGTAGGCAAATTTCCTAAAAGTTGCGGTACTAAAATAATTACCCAGTCTAGCTACAAGAAGGCTTCATTCCATTTTCTTAATAAAGCTAGACTGAAGCAGCACCAATTTCACTCGCTCAACAGTGTCTAATTGGCCAAGTTCGTCAAAATTGGCGCTCCCAATGGCAAAAAGTTGGATTCATGAACAAAATAAACAGCTAACGCGTACAAGACACGGTGTGGACTGATGCTACGTGGGGGTGCTTATCGATTAGGAAGGGTAGAGGGGAGGGGGGAGATAGGGAGATTTGATGATTATCAGACTGGCGCACAACCAGAAATCTCAAATGCTTTATTTAATCTTTCTGTTCCTGGCATCACGAGGCTCAAACGTCACCAAAAACAGACCGGCTGGCTGAAAACCCGGCGGGGTGACGCACACAACATCTTACCATATGGATTCTCATCAATCAGGACCGAGAAGAGCCTTAAGCCAGCCCAGTGGAGGAAGGCGGGTGCGTCCCCCAACCGACGGCTCCCCTACAAGCCCGGCGCTCCGCTCGCGCCTGCACGCAGGAGCCCGAGGATGCAGGACCACCGCACCGGACGCCTCGGTACCTGCTCCGCCGCGAGGGCTGCGGCCCCGCGTTCTGAGGGGGCCATCCAGGCGGCCGCAAACGCCGAGAGCCTGAGGATCAAGCCTGCCCTCCGCTGAGACCCCACAAATACCTCCACCAGACGACTGACACAAGAACCGCGACAGTCGGCGCGGACTCCCCTCCCGGGATCCAAACCCGTCCAGGACCTTACCTGAAGGGGCAGCGCCACCACCGCCCGACGGCGCTGACTGTCGCTGTGGCGGCGGTCACAACTCCGAGAGCAGTGACGCCTCTCATAAAAACAACCTGCTCACAGGCGTCCGCAGCCGGGAGGCGGCGGCCGGCGGGGCGCCGCGGCGCACGCCGGGACTCGTAGTCCGGTCCGCGCCTCATACCGGGCGGCGGCCGAGTGAAGAACTACGACTCCCGAAGAGGAGCGCAGTCCGCCGCCGGGAAGCTGCTGGAAGCTGGGCCCCGCGGCCGAGATCCTGACAACATCCGGGCCCCGGCGCTGGAGAGGCGCCGCGGCCGGTTACTATGGAGACGGGCTGCTACAACCGCTTGGCAGGATTCCACCCTGGAGAACCGCTCCTGGGATTAGGCGGATTAGTTTATACGTATTGATCCGGCGGATTAGTTTATACGTATTGATCCAGCCGACCGTTCACCAGCTCTTTGATGCTTTAATTGGCTATAGAAAAAGGGCCGCGTCCCCTCGGTGCTCACTGGCCTTCTTGCCATCAGCTGCAGGGAAACACTACGTTTGCGGAAAAAATAAAGAAGACATCGAGAATGACCGAGTGCGACTGGGTGGGTTTGGGCAGAGGGCTGGATGTTTTTGACTATTGGTACTCTTTACTATAAATTTGGGGCACCTCGCATTCCCACCCACCCCACGCTCCAAAAAAACCACTTTTGTAGGCAATCACTGGACTACACAGATGTAACATGCATTGCATTAAGCCGGAATTGCCTCTGAAGGTATAAAGATGATTGGGGATGGTATGCAACTCATACCCCACTGCAAAATGGGGTGATGGTTTTGAACAAGAAAAACGTGCCTTGTTAATTTACATTTGTTTACATTGTGTCTTGTTCAAAAAAGGATATGAGGGGGCGAAAGAATATGATGCATTTATATCACTGTGGATAGAAACAGTAGAAAGTTAAGGTTTAATTCTCTGTCCCCTAATTGTGGCCAAAAATTTTTTTAAAACATGAACAAGAAGGATGGTTGGGCCTGAGGAGAAACAAAACGGTGCCTAAAAATTAGGCTTTAAGGAATTTTTTGCTTTTGGTTGTGATTAACATCAACTGTGAAACCAAAACCAAAGAAGAAAAAGCACTTTTAGTGTTATAATTACAGTTTCTATAGTGGGCATTTTTATTATTTCAATGGCTTGTTGTTATTTATCTTTATAAAAATGTGTGTTTATAACAAAAGACTTGCAAAAGTCAAAGTGGCCTAGTCTTCTCTAATTCTAGGAGAGCCTGAGTATTAGTAAGAAAGCCAATACCATTTATTTGTAGATTTCATTCAAGGCACTTATTTGATTTTAAAAGATTCATTTATAATTTTCATTAACCGTCTTCTTATCCTTCATTAACAGTCGCTGACTCAGTGTGTAATCTAGCAGAGAATTTAATCTTTTTATTATTCTTTGTATTAGGCTGTTTTGTTTTTAATGTATCTGTTTTGAACTCCACATTTCAAGAATATCAGATTTGAAGAGGGCTAAACCTAAATAAGAAAGCTGCAGTGAGGACCTAGGATATAAAGTAAAAGCGATCAGTATTTTGTTTCAAAGTCCATAAACATTTGTGAATTGTTCTGGAGAAACAAAAGATTTAGGTGGACAGTAACTTCTACAGATTGTATGGTACAGATTATGCCAACAAGATTTTTCAGCTCATTTGTCTCCTATTTTGACTACATTCTGTTTTCTCTATTACATTTGGAGTCAAAGTTGATCCAGATTTTAGAGCCAGTTGTAGAGGGTGATTTGAAAGTCACAACCTCTGTGAGAGAGGCTGCCTTGGGCAACCTGACTGGTGTCCATAAATTATATCAGGATTGGTACTTTCTCTAACAAGTCACAAGGCAGCACCTCCCACTTAAGAATCCTGGGAACCTTGAGATTTTGAGACAAAGTGACCTGTTGTCAGAATGCCATAACATTCTAGCAACTTACTCTGCTCCAATGTCTGTGCTCTGGATGTTTAAAACAATTTAATAAGCAGTGTTAAAAAGAATAAATAGCAAGATCTGATGAGTTTTATTTCCAGCTTTGCCAGCTTCCTACAAGCTAATGAGTGTTAGTAAATGGGAGCATACTAGTGTAAATGTTCTTAACCTGTAAATTTCAGAACTGAATTGTGGAAGATGGTGCATATGCATTGAGGTATATCTGCAAAAAAGAAAATTATAAAAATCAGTTCCATTTATATAGTAATGTATCATTTACATCTGATTTTCTTTCACTTTCCAACCACAGGAACTATAGCAAATTTTTTTAACCAGTTTTACAGACAATATAAAAACATAGGTGCAGTGATGATAAAGGATTGGAATCTAGGTCACACAGTTCTTGCCTTGTGCTACTCCCCTAATACTATCATACTTCTTCAAATGTGAACAAAAGTGGATTATGAATTTTAATATCTCAAATTAGAGCCATTAAATGTAAATATAAAATAATAAATAGGTCTAAATTTTGAAGCTATAAAAAAAAGTTGGAGTAAATACTTCACAATTGCAGACTAGAACTAAAGATTTCAAAACAAATAGGTTTCTGACAGTGGGAAACAATTTTGCTGAGACATTAAGTGGAATCACGCAGGAATTCAGAGATGGGTTATTTTAAGAGAAACCAAACTAATCTGATGCAAATTTGATCCTGACACAACAACATGGCCAATATTCTTTCCCCCATTTTAGAGTTGGAGAAACCGAGATTTTATGCTTGCTAGTTTTAAGGATTTAGAATTCTTAAAGGGTCTGAGCCTCATGAATCACAAGAATCTACTATAAAGGCTTCAAAGAAAAAGAATTTTAATGCATATAAGCAACATTCTATTTAATTCAACCTTAAAAAGTCACAATTACAGTACCCTGGGGCTTCCCAGGTGGCACCAGTGGTAAAAAGACCACCTGCCAATGCAGGAGACAAACGAAAGGTGGGTTCAATCCCTGGGTCAGGAAGATTTCCTGGAGGCAGGCACAGCAACCCACTCCAGTATTCTTGCCTGAAGAATCCCTACGGATAGAGGAGCCTGGTGGGCTACAGTCCATAGGGCTGCAAAGAGCCAGACAGGACTGAAGCAACTTAGCACGCACACACGCACTGTACCCTGCCAACCTCTCTATAGGGTTAGATTATAATAATATAATTTCTGATCTGAAAGGACTTAAGATGTTACATATTTCTGAAATTGCCAAATTTGGGGGGGGGGTTTAAACTGCCAAAATTTTTTGCCAACATGGACCCCAGAGAATGCATTTTTAAGGGCCTTATCACAAGTAAATGTACACTCTTCATTCATGTTTTTTAAATAACTGAAAATCACTTTCCTATGACTACATTTGGAGAACCCTTATATTCTCAGATTAGGAATCAAACCTATCTAATCCATCTCCTCTGTTTTATATTTATAGACAAGGAATTTGAATCCTTACAAAATAATTTTATCAAAGTCACACAGCTTTTATTACTGGCAACATCAAAACCTAGAACTGGTGACACCTAATTTTGAAGGTGAAGACCTATCTTTTTAAAAAATAACCAATTTCCCAACATTATTGAGCTGGTTTCCTATGTACTTATCTCCTATACAATAAAATGTGGAACTGCAGATTTTTTAATCACTATTTTTCCAGTATCTAACAATGCCTGACACTCAGTAGGTACTCAGTATTTGTTCAATGAGTGATAACCAAGATCCGTATAGTCTCTTCCATGTGAATTCTTTCACCTTCATGACTGAAGCTTGTTGATTTTAATGGACATGACTTTACTGAAAATAAAGCATGTTATGTTCATGTGCTAGAAAATATCACTTTTGTATTCATTCTTTTTACTGTCTTGCTCCCTCCTCCCCCAAATAGCTAAATTATTTTGAATATTTATTAAATTTATTATGTATGTTAGTTACAAATTGTAGCAAATGGCCATCTACCCAAATGTTTGTCCAGAAATCTGGCGGTCTTCCTTGATACATCGCTCTTCCTCTCCATCCACATCCAATCAGTCAATAGGTCCTATGGATGCTACTTTCAAAATACGTCTCAAATTTATTTCCTAGTCTCTCTGTACCACGATATTTCTATAAGTCATCATTGTCAGTCACATGGACTACTGAAGGTCCTCTCCACATCCATTCAAGGCTCTGAGAGTCAAGTAATCATCCTAAAAATTATGTTACATCATGACATGTTTCTCTTTAAAACTTTTCAATAGCTTTCCATTGGTTTTACCATAAAGATCCAAACTTCTAACATAGTCAACCAGACCCTTCAGATTCTGCCCCTGCCCCTCTCTCATCTCGAGCCATTTTCACTCCACTTGGGCCACGCGTTTTCTCTGTGCCCTCCTCTATCTTCTCCTTCCTTGCCTCCCAGTCTTAGATTCAATGGCACTTCACCAGAATAGCCTCCCTAGGCCCTTACACTAGGTTAGAACCCCCCTGAGTCTTCATAAATACCTTGAATTTTTTTTTTCTTCATAGCATTTACCACAATTGTAATTAGTCGGTTGTATAATTATTTGCTTAATACACAAAGCAAAGATCCATAAAGTTAAGATGGCTGAATGTTTATCTTGTTCCTTCTTCACTCTAAAATCCAACTGTACATCCTCTTTGAACTATGATCTATTGCATCTTATTCTATAATTTACACATTTTTATAAGTTCTTATAGTACGGGATTTTTAAAACTTATCTTGTACATACTTTTGACAAGTTTTCTCTGTACAGACATATATAATTGAAATATATGTAAATTTAATGTACATATATATGTGCTTAGTCACTCAGTCGTGTCCAACTCTTTGACCCCATGGAATGTAACCTGCCAGGATCCTCGGTCCATGGAGATTTTCCAGACAGGAATACTGATGTGTGTTGCCATGCCCTCCTCCAACCCAGGGACTGAACCCAGGTCTGCATGGCAGATGGATTCTTTACGATCTGAGCCACCAGGTATGGAAGCCCATACCTATATATACATGTATATATACATGTTGTTGAGTCACTAAGTTGTGTCTGACTCTTTGCGACCCCATGGACTGCAGCACACCAGGGTTCCTTGTCCTCCACTATCTCCCAGTTTTCTCAAGTTCACATCCATTGAGTCAGTAATGCTATCTAACCATCTCATCCTCTGCTGCCCTCTTCTTTTGCCGTCACTCTTTCCTAGCATCAGGGTCTTTTCCAATGAGTAGGCTCTTTCCAGCAGGTGGCCAAGGTACTGGAGCTTCACCTTTAGCATCAATCTTT